CGAAGAAGGATCCAAGTACATCCTCCGGTGTTGTTGCCCTCATCAAGAACTCAATCGATCCGGCGCTACGCTCATCTCTCAACGGGATGACAGCGTATGGGGCTTGGAATTCAATTAAGGGGCGATTCTCTAAGACCTCTTGGTCGCTCCTCCTCAGTCGATGGTCTGACGTTGCACAGGCCTCAGACGCATCAGATTCTGTCTCAGCCAGCTATGAATCGCTCAAGAGGAGCTGGCTCGACCTGGAGGAGCGACTGGGAGGTTTGACAGCAGATAAGTTGCTGTCTCTCTCTTTTCATTCCAGTCTCCGCAACTTCCGGCAGCCGCTGACCGACGCCATCAACTCGCGACTTGCCATCCAGCCCGACCTCTAGATCACCTCGGAAGAGATCTTGAATATGGCTTGCCACCTTCAACAATCATCGGCTAATTCCTCGTCTTCAATGGGCATGTCTTCCCAGCGTGGAGGACACTTGGGTCGGGGATTGCGCGGTTGTGGCTATGCTTCCGCTAGAGGTGGTCATGGAAATGGACAAGCTCAGGCATCACGAGGGTCTTCAGGTCGTTCTGATCCTTCCGCTGACTCATGGGGTCAGAAATACTTGACGGCGGCTTTCCCCTGCAACATGTGCTGGGAATGGGGTCATTGGGCTCAAGATTGCCCTAGAGTAAAACACGGACTCCCGCCTTTGGATGATCCTCGTCTTGGTAACCCGGGTTGGCAAGCAAAGAAATCAAGTGTCTTGTCTGGACGTTTGGTTGTTTCCAACGGCACTTTGGCTTCAGTCTCGGCAAATCCCGACAAAGAGGGGGATATCTTATGTGATACAGGCGCTACGAATCATGTAACGTCTCATTCATCTTTTTTCACCACTATTCGCCCCGCTAATATCCGACTCCGCGTTGCATCTGAAGAATGCATTCCCGTAGACGGTATTGGGGATGCCAAAATTCCAATGGCCCACGGTTTTCTGTATCTGTCCAATGTTCTTCTCTGCAAGCAAGTTCGAGGAACAGTTCTCTCAATTGGTTTTTTCGACAAGTGGGACGGTAGTGTGGATTATCGTGATGGTGTTTTTCTTTTCTCACAACAACGGTCTTTGTTTCCCTCGTATTCCGACAATTATCGATGGTTTATCTCTTCGTCTCTTCATTCTTCATCGACTCGGCCAAATTGTTCTTCTTCTACCTCTCATCATGTTTCCTCAATCTCTTCTCTTATGTGGCATGCACGATTGGGCCATTTGGCAATGCGGACTCTCAACCAATCAATCAAAAATAATTGTGTCACTGGACTACCTGACAGGCCGTTTTGTCAATTCCATGGGAAATGCAATTCATGTTCCCTGGCTAAGAGCATCCACAAGCCGGTTCAATCTCCGCCTCGTTGTATTGCGGACAAACCAGGTGCAATTGTTGCAGTCAACCTTGTAGGGCCATTTCCTGCTGCCTTAGATGGTAGCACGTATGGGCTCATTGTACACGAAATCTTCTCTCGTATGACATCTGTCTTTGGTTTCAAGTCTAAAGATCTTGCGGCGAAGGAAGTTATCAAATGGATTGAGAATTTCAAGAAACACTGTTCTCATGACGTGTTATGCATTCGTTCGGACTGCGGTGGGGAATTCATCTCCAATAAATTCAATGACTACCTTAAGAAGAACGATATTCGACATGAAATGTCAGTTCCTTACAAACATCACCAGAATGGGGCTGTTGAGCAAACCAACCGTGCACTTCTCGATATGGCTCGGACTTTTGTTGTACATGCTAAACTCCCAAATACTCTTTGGTTTCTTGCGTTGAAACAAGCTGCTTTCATTTTCAATCGAATTGTTCATGACGATGCTGTTAAAACGCCCTACGAACTCTGCCTTGGCAAGACTCCGTCTTTGGACATGGTCAAGGTCTTTGGGTGTCAAGCTTACTTGCATAATATCAAATATCCAAAGCAATTTTTTCCTCGGTCCACCCCCTTAATCCACGTTGGAATTTCGGACACCTCTCACGGTTGGAAGCTCTGGAATCCAGTATCAAAGAAGCTGGAGGTCGGGGCCTCTGTCATATTCCATGAAGACGACCTGCCGTCTCAACTCACTAACTCTGGGACCCTCAACGCAGTTCTCAACTCCATCCAAACCTGCAATCTAGGCAATTTCTCTCAGATCAAAGAGCTTGAGATCCAAGATGCGTGCCTAGCGTCTGCGGTTTCGATTTCACCTTTTCTCTCTGATGCTCCTAACACCTATGGCCAGGCGATGAGGTCGGAATTTAGCGTGGAGTGGTTGAAGGTGTTGAAATTTCGCTCGTCTCTCTCTTCTTTCCTTTCACTCACCTGTCACAATCTTATTCAACGGCCATTGTCTTTTCTTTTTTTATGCCATTAGTTCTTAGACCCACAACTTGAACCTCCTGTAGTTTGAATATTTAACTCATATTGACTGCAGCTTAAAAATGAAAAAACTATCGGTTCTTTATTCTTTTCTGAGCCTTTCCTGAAGAAGCACTTTTAGCCCTTCTTCAGTCGTAGTTGTGAAGCACTTGAGCCCTTCCAACTTGAGTTAAAAGTATTATTTTTTCTGGCCTTTTCGCCAAAAATTCAACAGAAGGCATGTGACGTGGAAATTGAGATGATGCTCCAACTTCGGGTGTGGGAAGAAGTCCCTTTGTCGGATGATCTGGAAGTTTTGACTTGTTGCTGGGTGTTTGCATTGAAACGAAGTCAAGAGGGTGTTATCACGCGTTTCAAAGCCCGCATTGTAGCTCAAGGATTTCGCCAAGTTCATGGCGTAAATGTTGGGGAGACGTTTGCTCCGACTCCTACTTTCTCTTCTTTGCGGCTGTTATTGGCAATGGCTTCTAGATTTAACTGGCCGGTGGCTTCTTTTGACGTTAAGTCCGCTTTCCTTCATAGTGATATTGATCATGACATCTATATCCGTCCTCCGCCAGGTGTTAATGTTTCCCCGGGCTGTGTGCTCAAGCTCCGCAAGGCTCTCTATGGCACCAAGCAAGCCAGCCGTTGCTGGTGGCTTCACCTTAAATCCAAAATCACCACCATTGGTTTTTTTCCAAATCTTGAAGATCAGTCGACTTATTCATATAAGTCTGGTGATGAAATGGCTTTCCTCTGGGTCCACGTCGATGATGGTTTATTCACCGCCAATTCTCTGGGACTTATGGAACGCCTTAAAAAACAGTTGGATTCTGTTTTGGATCTGAAATGGGACGATTCGCTGTTGAGCATTGTTGGGATTAGAGTCAAGGAAGTCAATGGGGGTTTCACCCTGGATCAACCTATGCTTGTCGAGAAGATTCTATCGTACAGCCCCTCTAACGTTAAAACTCAAACACCATTGCCCTCTACCAACCTTGTTTCTAACGCTTCTCAGCGAATGGATAAGGAGTACTTATCTCGGATTGGTAGTCTCCTTTATTTGGCACAGGGTTCCAGGCCGGACATTTCTTTTTCTGTAAATTTTCTGGCACAATTTTCAATGGCACCGGACCAGTCGCACTGGGACACGTTGGAACATCTCATCTCCTAAATCCGCTACACTTCTCACTTGACTCTACCGATTGTTGCGGTTGCTGGCACGGAGGACATCAAGACCTTTGTTGACGCGAACTGGGGAGGCAAGGGTTGGCGCTCTGTTCATGGTTTCATATCGACGGTATGGGGTGCCTCTATCTCCTGGGCGTCCAAACGCCAGATTTGTGTTGCCCGCTCAACGTGTCAAGCGGAGTACATGGCTCTTTCCTTTGCGTCCAAGGACGCTTGTTTCATTTACTCGCTCTTGTCTAGTTATTTCCCGCTCAAGACTCCGTTGATCTTATCCGACAACAAGGCCGCCATCTATATCAGTAAGGACTGTGGTACCCGGAAAGAACACCGCCACATTGATCGTGAATTCCATATCATCAATGAACTGCTCTATCAGGAGAAAGTGCGCCTCGATTGGATCTCCACAAATGATCAATTAGCCGACATTTTCACGAAGGCTTTGGGGTGGAGAAAGGTGTCAGAATTTTTGACTCAGACGGGACTTAGGTCCCCGTCCCACACTTTGGCAAGTATAGGGGGGAAAGTATGCGCTGGCTGTGATTATCATACGCCCCCCGCGATTGTTCGTCTCTCTCCTGAACCCACCGATAATTCCATGCGTGATTGGTTCAATGGAGGTTAACCTGTCTTGTTTTATTTTTTGATGGTCTTCTCTCAGGTTTCCACTCTGGCGCTTTTCTGTGAATCCGGGATTTGTTGTGCTTCCTCCTTATCTGTTTCTCTCTGTCTTTTATTCTATTTTTATATACTTTGCTTTTGCTGTTTTTTCCTGGTTTCTTTCTATGATTTTTTCTTTTTTCTGATTTCCTCATTTTCCTCATTTTTTCTTTTTTCTCCTTACGGTTTTTTGTCAGTTTTTTCTTTTCTTTCTGTTGTTGGTTTGGTTCTAGGGTTGATGAGGGGGGGAGTGTTGTCACGTGACTATGTACTTACAAATTATTACATAACCCATACACATAGTTTACATATTTTCTACATATTTTCTCACACTTATATACATATTTCATATATGCACTTATTTCTAGTTTCTCATCTACCCAAATACATACTTGTAAATAGTATAAATAGTCTATCTACATTGAAATATAGTTTTTCCATTTGGGGGAGTTTCACTATTCTCATATTTGTATTACGCTGCTCTACACATTCTGTGTCTAGTATGTAGTAGTTGATGCCCAAGCAAACTTAACCAAAGTTAACTTCCACCTCGGAGCCAGGGCAGTGAATGTATGAGTGTGAACTAACCCAAATTGACTTGTGAAGGGGGTCACATTAATGCTCATCTGATTCTGACGGAGCTGCGGATACTTATGTCCGGATCCTTTATGTAAGTGTTGAGACCCACAAGTCCAGCAGGTCCAGCTTGGCTCCAAGGGACCTTTATCCACCACAGAGGGCCCTTGTCGGCTCAGCACATTTCCACACACTATCCACGATGTCTTACCCTTTTTCTGCTCCAAATTTCGACTTCACGGCCGACGATGATATGGATCTATCCTTTTATAATTTACACGACACCATGCGATCATTACGCGCCAAGCCAAAGCCTCGCAAGCAACACGTCGAGCTGAAGGGCGACTTGTTCAAGGCTTTCCAGGGCATCAGTGCTCCCGGGACGTTTGCTGCCTGGGAGGCGCTTCCGACTACTCCACCTGCCGGGCTCCATGTTGATGGCGTTGGACAGATCAGCTTGCCTCTAGACGAGGGACAGATTCGAAGACTTATCCAAAAATCACACCAGGCTCCATATGGTCGTAGAAGCGAGACCCTCGTCGATTTGTCTGTCCGAAACACATGGGAAATCAACGGAGATCAGTTGTTATTCCTCAACCCTTCATGGCAATCTTATCTGCTCGATCTAAGCAAGACCGTCGCGAACCGTCTGGGCATCAATGCGCCAATCAGAGTCGAGCTGTACAAAATGCTTATATATGAAAGAGGGGCCATGTTCAAGCCACACACCGAGTAAGAGTCATCTCTTCCCTTCTTGCTCAGTGATTTTCAGACTGGCAACTGACTCGCCTGGGTTGTTTTACCGCCTGTGGATAGCACCGAGAAGACTCCGGGGATGTTCGGGACTCTGATAATCTGCTTGCCATCAGCTCACACAGGCGGTGAAGTGGTCGCGAGACACAATGGCGAATCGATGATTTTGAAAACCTCAGACGCAATCCAGTCATTTGCCTGCTGGTACTCGGACGTTTCTCATGAGGTTCTACCCGTCCACTCTGGCTATCGATGCGTCTTGACTTATAACCTGGCAACCTGGCCGGATCAGCCCCGCCCAGCAGCAAGCACACGCGACTCGCAGGTGTTTCCACTCCGAGAAACGCTTCAACGCTGGATTGCAGAATCCGCCAACAGTAACGCGACCGACACGCCCAGTCACCTTTATCATGCCCTCGACCACGAATACACCGAAGCTTCGATTTCCTTCGCAGCTCTCAAGGCCAAAGACGCGGCGCGCGTACAGGCATTGAAAAATCTTACGAGCGAACTACCTTTCGAAATCTTTCTGGCATTATTGGAAAAGAAAGAGATGGGAGACGTTGAGCATGACTGGAGCCGAGGTGGCTACGACGGGTGGGGCCGATACCATGAAGATTTTGAACCCGAGTGTGATGACGAGTATGATGATGACGAGGAGGAGGATGACGAGGATGAGGACGAGGACGAGGATGATGAGGATGATGACCGTAAAGAACGTAAAAAGGCTAAAAATAAGGCTCAAGACAAGGCTCAAAGCAAGCCTCCAACCAACGCTAAACATAAAATTACCGACGTGTTCGAGACTGAATATAATGTGGGGTCACTCTGCACACTCGATGGCGACACCCTTGCCAGTGATTACAACTTTGACTCGAGTTTCTGTCTGGTGGATGATCCCTTCGAGGAAATGGGAGTGGACCAGGAAGAATATGAACCTTACATGGGCAATTCGGTAAGTACATACATCCCCTAGCTGATTTTTTTTTGACAGACACGCTAATGATAAACCACGATCAATTCTCCAGGGTCCTTCTGCCACCCATTGGTATCGCCGTTCAGCTCTAGTTATTGTTCCACGTCAAAGACTAGGCGAGTTTCTGGCGGAATCCGTATCATCGGAATCAAACCTGACCTCTGCCCTCAGCTACCTCAAACAAGTTCTTCCCCGCCCTGAAGATCAGATACCACTGCTGGATGCGATGGCCGCACTCTATCAATCAATGCCCAGCAAATTCATGTTTCAAGACACAATCACCGATACCCTCCAGACTGCCCTGTGTGCTAACCACCGCAAGCTGTTTGAATCTGTTGGGGCTCGCCACGGAGGTATGCTACCGGTCGATTTTTTTGACTGGGCAAAGGGATGGCTCGACACACTTCCAGCTCAAGACCGAGCTGAAAAGTATCAAGCATGGTAAGCATACGTGAAAACCTTTTGGATCATGATTGACATTACCTGCTGCTAATCCTTATCTTGTACGGATATCTGACAGGATTCCATTACTCATCCAAGGTTATCCATTGGTGACTAGTCGCATCACCATCATTGCAAAGCTGTTCCCAAATCCAACTGGCCACGCAGCTCTCCCAGATCCAGCACTCACCAACTTTAACACCTGGGCGCGAGATCAGATGCATCAATGTATCAAACTCTTCATCCAGAACACTCAGAACCCCACTGTTTCAGACATTGATGTGATCATGTCTGCCCTCGCTTATCTCGATGAAGCAACTAGATCTGCCTTGTAAGTGTTTGCTCTGAAGATGTTCAAGTAATGATTTGGAATGTCTTACCATTCTGTTTTCCACTGATTTACTCAGTCTCAAGTCGATTTTCGACCACTTTACACAAGCACATGCAACAGCATTCCTACTCGCCTTGCTCTCTCGGCTCAAGGCTCATGCAGTAGCAGGATATCCACAAAATTCCGCGGCCATGGAGCTCTACAGAAACCTTAGTTTGCGTGTGTTCAACAGTCGGAGGAGGCTCTCCGAGCTGATCACCCCAACCAAAACCAGCTGGTCACATAGGACCGACTTCCTGGTCACTCAACAGGATCTGATTCAATTCGCCTGCGATCTTAACGACATGAACACTGATGGGGCAAGCTTACTTCAAACATTTATCGAAGAAATCAACTCGCAGTGCTCGACTTTCTTGATCGACGACCTGCGCGAGTTCTGGATGCCGTTCCTTTATCAACTCATCCCGACTCTGGTCTCTCGATCCATCCCACTTAACACCCCTGCATGCCAGCAGCTCACTTCCCAATTTATCAAGCACCTGGACGAGAAAACCCTTGGCCCGTGCCCTCATGCACCCGCAGGCGCGCTTCCGCAGAACCCGCAAGTGAGCTGTCCATGCATGGACTGTGATGAGCTCAACAAATTCCTGCGATCAACCACCCAACGTGTGGCTCGGTTCCGCAAAGCAAAAGCCAAACGGACCCACTTGGAGCAACAGATCACGCGTGCTCGACTCCCTTGCACTCACGAAACTGAACGCGGCGGGAATCCTTTGACGTTGGTCGTCATGAAACGTTACATCGTTCAAGACCAACTCGACAAATGGAAGAAACAGCAAAAGAAACTCTATGTTGGATTGGTTAAGAGCTTCCAACCCAAGCAGCTCCAAAGCCTACTTGGTGACCAAGAAGCTTCCCGCATCCAAGCATTGGCAGGACTCTAGGACAACCGGCTACAACCTCTCATTTCATCTACCTCTTTCACTCTTAGCCTCAAACTATTGTGATCTCCAGGATTCTAGGACAAGTAACACATGCATCCGGTTGTCAAAACCCACCGACCTCTTTCAACTTTTAACCTCAATTGACTGGCATTTCCTTCTTTTTTTCTTGTGTTGTACATTATGATGATCTTTGCAGTCAGAAACATTTACATACTCCATGTGCATACATTGATGCTATAAACTAAGTACAGCAGCGGATAACCCAGTTTACCTGCGACATTCTGATCCTCCCCAAGATACCAAATGTTTTTTTCTTCTGTCTTTTGTTTTGAAATGATTCTTTTTTTTGGAATGGTTCTAAAATCAACAAGAATACCATCGAAGGATGTTTTTGAAACCCTGTTCAAAAAGTCTCCAGTATGATTGTTGACCTGCATCAAGGCTGTTCATTATATGTGACTGACCAGCCCAAAGCAGCCACATGTGGTGGACCACATATGAGCGCTTAACTGCTTCTCATGTGCCCTTGCCTGTCACATCCTTGTGCAATTGTCTTGTTTTTTTTTGACCTCAAACCTGTAACACAGATCGACAGCCCTGCTCTGTTCTCAGTGTCAAATGAGCTCTATACCCCACCATTGCCAAGATCACTCAACAAATGAGAAAAACTAACAAAACTGAGTCAGTTTGATAAAATTAAATTGTATACATATTTACACAAAATTCATGCATTTGTAGGTGATTACATACCCTTATGAGGGAAAAGGTTTCTTGACACATTTATGAATACTATGTTAAATTTTTGGCCTCAAACTTGTACAACTTTTCAAGAGAGAATAATATGAAAAAGTAAAGCAATAAACACGGTCACAGTAGCAGGTTTCTGTACAGACAGTGCTGACCCAGCAGTCAGAGCAACTCCAGCGGCCCTGGGGGCAATTGGGCTGCGTTCTGCAGGCCGCAAACTCATTTCACAGACATTTCTTAAGATGAAAAATCCTGTCATGTAGTATTTTTATGCATGTACCTGGATATGCTTCTAACAAGCAGCCCAGTACTACTCTCACAGCGGTCTCACTTAATATCTTTCTATTATCAAATATTACATATATTTCTCACATTCAAAGATCCTCAGTGCGAGTCTAAACTTCATCACAGTATTTTGGTCCCTGTGCCCCTCAACAGGTAATGAGACCCACCTAGTCTTGCTTCTACCTACACTCAACTTTATTGACCCTCGTCAACTTTCAGGAACTTGTTATCTGTCAGCCTGCTACAATTCAGAGACAACCTGACCATATATATATTAAATATTTAGAGACAGGCGGTAAAGGCAGGTGGAGCCGTCTTGGATCGGTTCACCTTCTTCCCACAAGTCTCGTTTTCTGGGTGTGTAGCTTGCCACTTTAGAAAGTGCTTCAAGATGCCCCAGCAGTGATCAAGATTGAAAGCAGACTCAAAGGCAAACTTGTATGTCTGCTTGGCTTCAGTAAGCTGAAGTAAATTAGAAAAAAAAAACAGACCATTAATTTAAAATGATAAAACAATATAATAAAATAACTTTGAAATACATACAATATCTTTGCAAGTTTGACCAATTTTCAACCAACACTCAACATTGGAATAGCAGCCAGAGAACGTATTGGCCGTCCTGAGTACATGGACCCAACGGCATTCAACAGCGACCACTGGTCATGTAGGAAGAAGCACTTTAAAGTTCTTTAAGTTTTTTTTTTTTCTCTTTTCTGTATTCATTGATGAGGTCCCAAAGAATTTTGGGGACTTGTTCCCAAAGCTATGTGGCCCAGCTGTCTTTTGGGCAACTGAGCATATGACTGCTGACTTGTGAGTTTCAGTGGAGCCACAAGAATTGCACAAGAAAAAATAGTAGAGGTAAAAAATAGTAGAGCAAAGGAAAAGAAAAAAGGTAGAGCAAAAGAGAACAAAACAGCAGAGCGAGGAAAAGAAGATAGTAGCGCAAAGATCAAGAGCAGTTGATAGATGCAAAAACCATAAGCTAAAGCAGAGAAACAGTAGACGGATGCAAAGACGCTAGTATAGGCTCAAGTATCAACAATGGGCACCAGGAACAAAGAAAACTGTCATTATCAAATACAGCTATATACCCAACTTTTGTGTTCTATGTTTGATAAGGTGGGGGGTGAGAGGTTCTACTCTAGAGAAGAAACCTCTGGAGAGACCTGCTTGAGAAATTTTTTAGCCTGTCCAGAAGACTCTTGATGAAGAAATTGGATGTTTGGATAAGCATCCAACAATTCTTCTAAGGCATCAACAAGACCTTGCGTTAGAAAAGGGAAGGAATCCAGCCCATAGAATGCCAAAGATGCCCGTCTTTCTGATTCTTCTTTTGAAAGCGTTCCTTGGGGTATCGGGATAATTTTTGGCTGGAGGTTTGGCTGTGATGGAGGCGGTTGTGAAGTGGTTTGATTGGTTCTAGCTGGTTGTTTTCCGGTTGATTTTTTTCTGGGTGGTTGCGTTCTGCTTGGTTGTGATGCAGTTGGTTGTGATTTGATGGAGCTTGTTGGTTTTGGCCTTGCATCTCTTAGACTGAGGTACAGCACAAGATACAGGTGTTCTTCTTTGAGTTTGATTCCTGCAAAGGTGGGGGTCCACTTGTAAGAGTCATCTTCCAACTTGTCATTTTGCTTCCGGTTCTTGACCTGAATACCGCAAAACGTGATTCCCTGCTTGTCTAGAGTTGCTGTTGGCTGGGATTGTAGGTAGATTGTAAACATTTGATCAAATCCGGGCTGATTGGGCTTGCAATTGATCGCCAACCCTCTGTACAGTTTTTGCAATAAGTCCGCTGAGGTTGGTGTGTGATCAACAGAAATGAAGTGATTCCAAAATATGTGTCCTTCGTTTAAGAGCTTCTTTTTACATTGTTCACTTATTGTGCCAAGATTCAATTTTTCTACCTCTTGGGAATCGGTTAATGTTTTCAGAAAGTCTTGCAACCCAACAGAATGCCCAAATGGCATAGTAATCATTTCCGGATTGGCATCTGGAGCTGGAGTTGGTTGCGTTTTTTGCATGGTTACTTGCATGGCCCGTAGTAGAATGATACGGCTGACAAGTTCGCCAGCATCTCCTGAGCCAAGGTGACCTTGGCGGCGTGTAGAGGCAAGGACTTTGATGCATCGGATTAACCTCTCATCATCATATGCTAGGTATTCGTTGGCCGCCGAAGAAAACGTAAATTGAGATGGATATTCACTTATGAGCATCTGTCGCAAGGGATCAATATACATGCATTGCGCTGCATGGCTTGAAACTAGCTTGGAATTCAGTTGTGATGCTCCATAGAGTTGCGGCTGTATAGTGGACCCAAGCAAGGCGATGGCTTGTGGATCAGTCAGGGAAGAGGCTGGGATTGACGCTGTGCTTGTGCAGAGGAGCTTTTGAAGGGCAAATGGAATTAAGTCGAGCACAATTTGACGGTGGGCTACTCCTTCTCGCTGAGCGTCAGCAGCATACAAGCTCCAAAAAGGAGACCCATAACAGAAAAGCCGAAAAGCCGATTGCAATTGGCACCAAGTTGTTGGCGGTTCTGCGACGTGTAAATCAAAGGTGGGGATTTCATATATAGGTGGATAAAGCTTTTCTACTTTTCCATTTTCCATGCCGATCCTGTGAATGGGATCCTTGTGCGCCGGAGGGTTGAAATTTGAAACGCGAGAGGTGGTGTCAGCAAAGACAACAAAAATGTTGCTCTTATAGGGTATCTTCTTTAGAGCATGGCGGAAAATGCGGAAAAACGAAAAATCAGACGATGTGGCGCTCTTGAGTAATTCCCGGGCTTCGTCAATTGCTAGTAACACCCTGAGATTTTCTGCCTTGATGAAATCGGTATTTTGCTGTAGCCTGGCCGATGCCTGTGCAAATTGCTTACTCCTGTCAGGATCTGAATCCGGCGAATTTGAAATTTCTTTCATTTTATTCTTCACGTCAGTCCAAAAGGGTGGGTCGCCAACTTGATTCTTTCTGGGGAAGCTATGAGAGATCCATTTTGTCATCTTTTCTTGCATGCTCAGCCGTTGGTGAGCATGGAAGAAATCAGCCACAACGTTGAAAATGGCAAGAAGCAGATCTTCATATTGAGTTTGTAGACGTAGAGCTGAGGAGTTGGTATCAAGAAGTATTTCAGAGGCATATTGGGATCGCGGCGGGTGTCCACTTGAGCCATTGGGGCGGACACAGATATATGCAACGCATACATGATTTGACAACTCCATTAATAGTCGTGTTTTCCCGTTCATTGATGGTCCGATTAATTCAGTACAAGGAGCCAAGTATTCGGGGGATGACCACTTGGATGCATATTTGCCAAGAGTATTGAGCGTTGGGATCACTATATCGTCCGAATTTTTATAAGTATGCTCGTATCCTTGCAAAACAATTTCTCTTTGCACAGTTTGGAATGTCATAGATTCAGCCAAAACTAGTCGGGCTTCGCGAGATGAGGAGGAGTTGATTGCCGTGACTCTCGTATCATGAGTAGTTTTGGCATGTCGAGTAAACTCTGGATGTGGCAACAGGAGGGCAAGCTCGGAAATTTCTTCTTGAAGGTTTGCTTTGTCGTCAACAAACCAAAAGTCAACGAGTGCTTGAAACGCATATTTTCTGTTGAGAACTCTAGTCCAGCCCAATTGGAATCGTAGATCATCTACTTCAATCGTTCCGTGTGCTGTATTTGTCGTCAAAGCGGATTTGAGTCTCTCCAGTTTATCGACGTACTTTTCGACAACTTGACCTTCAAAACAACAGGAGTAAGCGTAATCAGCTAATCAGGAGCAAGCTAAAAAAAAACCATACAATAAGCACATATATACATACGTTCAGCCTTCATTAGAAATTCTTCGGCATTTTCGACATCCACATGGAGAGCTCTGAATTTGTTATGTGTAAGGCGTTCAGCTTCATCGACAGGTTGTTTTTGGTTGTGTTCGGCGAGATGGATTGCCGATGAGTTTTCCAACAATGCTTTTGCTTGGTGAGATGGGGAGTTGATTGCCTCAATTCTCTTTTGGTGTGTGAGTTTGGCATGGTGAGCAAACGTTGGGTGCAACAGCAAGAGAGCGAGCTTGGAAACTTTTTCTTGAAGGCCTACGTCCGCTTCGATATCCCAGATGGTGACGAGTCGGTGAAATTCGATTTCTCTGTTAAGGAGTCGAGCCCAGCTCGATTTGAATAGATGAGCGGATGTCTTAGCCCTTTCGTCATCTGCTCTTGACAGAGTGCTTTTGAGTTC